CTCCAGGCACACAGACTCCTGGTAAGGAGACCCCTGGCGGTTGGTGTGGGGAACCCTGTGTATTTAGTGACAGGCTTTGGGGACAAAGGGAATGGAGTTCCTTCCCGCACTAAGACCCCTAGGAGAGGGAGGATCTTGGGTTGTGTACTTTAAATGGTTCCCAATTGGCTGAAGGAAGGGAATTAGCAGAGGTACCCAGTCGGGTTACCCTGGGTCCGCTACAGTCTCAGTGTGGTTTAGTGTTGTGTGAGTGTAGTGCCTGCGTTTTTGTGTAGGGACGTTTTTCTTTTGTTTTCCTCCTGCTTACCGTTTGGCAAAAGAGGGGTGTTATCCCCAGTGGTCCAGTGGAGGCACATTAAGAGGTGGCAAAAGAGGGAGTGTTATGCACTGCACCAGTATGAGGTGCAGATTAGTTTAAGAGCTGACTCGCGATCCTAGCACCCAGTCAATTACTTAGTGCACTGATTGTTAAACAGTGAGTCATTAAAGGACCACTATAGTGCCAGGAAAACATACTTGTTTTCCTGGCACTATAGTGCCCTGAGGGTGCCCCCACCCTCAGGGACCCCCTCCCGCCCGGCTCTGGAAGGGGGAAAGGGGTAATAACTTACCCAGGCCTACGGAGAGCCTCTGCCTCCCTGCTACCCCCGCCGGGCTGAATGCGACCGCCAGCGCGCCGCCGGGCCAAGATTCAGCCGGTTCTACAGGAAAGCATTACAATGTTTTCCTATGGACGCTGGGATGCGTTCCACTGTGATTTTCACAGTGAGAAGCACGCAAGCGCCTCTAGTGGCTGTCAATGAGACAGCCACTAGAGGATTAGGGGGAAGGCTTAACCCATTCATAATTATAGCAGTTTCTCTGAAACTACTATAATTATGAAAAAATGGGTTAACCCTAGAAGGACCTGGCACCCAGACCACTTCATTAAGCTGAAGTGGTCTGGGTGCCTAGAGTGGTTCTTTAAGAAGTTATGGGGGAGCGTGAGGGAGCTCTTAAAGTGATTTGCAACCGATAGAGGTGCAGACCATGAAGCTTTCTCAAACAGATGGAGTGCAGGCCAAGCAGAAAAATATTTTTGATCTTCCTGCCTTCTCACGAAGGGCTCCATCACAGTCAAAGCTCCAGGACCAGACAAGAGTCCACTGGGCCCTATGCCATTTTATGGTTAACCTTGCCTAGAGGGAAAAAGGAGGAACAGTAAAAAAAAAATAATAATCTAGAATTATTTAATTATTTAGTGTGTGTGTGTGTGTATATATGTGTGTGTGTGTGTGTGTGTATGTATGTATGTGTGTATATATATATTACTGCTTCTCATTTTTTCCTCTATTAATTCTCACATGATTTGTAGATCAAATGGCAGGAAAATATTTAGATTATGTATATATTTTGCAGTACATATTTTTGGGCCATTTTGGATTGCTGAAATTTTACTGATACTATTGCATGGGCAAAATTCTTCTGAACTGAAACACAGCATGACGCTGTCAACTGAAACTATATATATATTTTTTAGCCGAATCGATTGGGCTGAATTGCATTTTTTCCACCGTGCACAAGTCTACTATTATGCGATAGTTTTTTTTAAAGGTCCTCTCTACATTCTGCCTGTGTACAGCAGATGAGTACATTTAATAATTATGTCTTTGTCTTTCAACCTGCATTCTATTTCCGTGACCACATTAAGGAAAGTCATTAGTACACAGACAGGAAACTTTGGACAAGTGACTGCTGTTTTTTTGTTGTGCCAGGAAATCTGAGCCGTGCCTTTCACCTTTTCATCAGTGGGGACATTCATTATCCTCAGAGAGTTCACTAAAAGTAAAAGTTTGATGCAGCATCATATTATCTGTTTTAAAGGGAAAATCCATACACCTTAACATGTGCTCTGTGTGAAGTGTATGGTGCAAGGAGAGTCCTTGTTCTTGTATTTCCCTTTAATCAGTTCCTAAATTTGCAAAATTCTCAGCCATCATAATTCCACCCCAGTTTGATGATGCCACATGGCAAAGCTAAATATGCACAAAAGATTCACACCATTAGTCAAAGACAAGTCAGTCTCTCTTATCAGCAAATTGCTTTGTTTAGTATATCATCTGAATGTATTACATCAGTTGGCACACTTGATTTTTTTTTTAAATTTAATTGTGTGTTACTGAAATAAAGACACCTGTGACGTAATGTGAATGGCTACCATCTTCCTGGGTGCAGCAGGTGCTGGCTGAGGCTGATGGGAGTCTGAGGGAGGTCTAGGTTCTCAGTCTGCTCTTATACCCAGTCCACAGGAATCTATTACTATAAACACATTGACAAGGGCTAACTGTTGTGCAAAAATTAGTGATATCTATCTACTATGCTTTCCTGGGCTCATGTTTCCTCTATGTGTTGAAATGTGTTGATGAGCAGCAAATAAAAAAGTGCTTCCCTATAGTGTGCAAAATTCCAATGCTGTACGAGAAAATGCATCTAATGAATCAATGTAGCTTATTTGGGATTCCTCTTTGATTGATGGCCTGATTCATTGATACCATGCAGATGTGATACGTGTATGGGGTCTCACGAAACTGATACTGTGTCTAGCAACATAATAAGAGGAACATGTCACAAACCCCAATACATTATTACTGACAGGGAATGGAAAACTGCTACCTCAAATTTATAATGCTGCACATCTGAGTATTATTTAATAATTAAAGATTTTAATTATCCAGACATTGACTGGGCCAGAGGTGATAGTAGTCCAGATTTTTCAATATTTAAATTACACTTTTATGCCTCAATTAGTAGTAGCACCAACCACAATAGATGCAGGAAATATTTCTGAACATATTTGTTTCCTCAAAGTGGAAACTTAATCATTGCTTATGCAACATTTATAGATCACAAGATTACTGACCCACATAAACTTAGTACAGACAAACTCTCTGACACACGCATATGCAAGTTAACTGACAAATGTGCTCACTACAGACAAGCTCACTGACACATACTCACTACTAACAAGCTCACTAACACATGCTCATTACAGACAAACTCACTGACATACACATGCTCATTACAGACAAGCTCACTGATATACACATGCTCATTACACACAATTTCACTGACACACACATGCCCACAACTAACAAGATTACTGACACAAACACACTACACGTAGGCTCACTGACACATGCTCACTGACACACACATGTTCCCTACGGACAGGCCCACTGACACATACACATGCCCACCACAGACAAGCTCACTCACTAGCAGGCACATGCTCACAAGCTCACTCTCAGTCATGTGTTGCTGAGTAAGCCTACCTGGCACTGAATGCTGTGGGAGCACTGGGAGGTAAAGTTTCCACTTTCCAGCCTCTTCCTGTCAACGAGGTCAGCTGCTTGAGTCTCAAGGGCGGAGCTTGAGTGCAGGGTAGAGCAGGAGAGGCACAGAAAGCTCCCTCCCTACTGTGCTCCCTCCAGCCGTCGGCATCTGTAATGCGGCCACACAAGCACCTCCCTCGTTAATTCCCTCGGACTCTCACTCGCAGTCCAAGGGGAAAAATAACTTGAATGTCATTAGCGCTATTGAATTTTGAGTTTTGCTTACAGTTGCCTTGGCAGGGTCAAACCAAATGATTTTGCGAGGCCCCA